GCAGAGATTGATAGGGTTGGGGTAAGCCAAGCGAAGCTGGCCTCCCTCACCCACCACGCACCCGAGGAGGACCAAGGCTGCTTTTATTTCCAGCGATAAATTAAATCAACCACTCTGCCTGGAAGTGTGAATATTCATAGAAGCAGAGATCAAATGTCCAATCTGAGATGCTGGAGGCACTCTGCAGACGTCGCCCACGGTTGGTTGGTACTTAACTCGCCAGAGGCTGGGACGTCTTCCAAGTCTTCATTTTTCTATTGCATTATTAACTGTGAAGGGCTAGGTTAGCAACAGCGCACAGGGCTGTGCTGTTGGAATCATATAATGCGCATTCGTCACCATGCAGATGGCAATGGGAGGTTCCACAGATGGGGCTGGGGCTCTTGGGCTGAGGCGGCACACGCGGGAGGGGGGCGTGGGCAGGCGGCGGGATCAGAGGTGGAGAGACATCACGTCATCCCAGACAGGGGCTTCCTCTGGGAACCGGCAGAGTTGTTGCTGACTCACTGCCCCAGGCAAATTATCAGCGTGTTTCTTGGACAAAGGTCCGTGTAACGAAGCGCTGGTTCCACGGCTCTCCTTGGCTTGTTTCTGCTCATGTGGCCGTGTAAGGCCAGACTGGAAAACGTGGGCACGTGAACTAAGCGTAAGTGTCAGAGTCCGTGGCAGAGAGCAGGAAGCCAGTGCCGTTATCTCTTCTCTCTTGAATGCATACGTGTGTGAGTGCATGTGTGTACATGTGCACGCATGCCCTTATCAGCGCGCGCACAGGGTCAAGGGCTCTGAGCTGCAGACAAGCTTTGGTCTCTGAGATGGAATTTTTCGTTTTGCTCCTGCTCTTTCTATCTGAGCCTCCCAGGAGCTAAAACTCAACTTGCGAGTGCCCTAAACCCTTCCCTGAAAGGTGGCCTTCCGCTCTTGGAATGACAGGGCAGTGCCTTCTGCCTGGCCAGATCAGAGAGGCTGGAGAGGCACCCGGTGGACCCAGGACTGGAAAGCTGAAAGTCTGGATTCTACTCTTGCCTCCAGGCCTCACTTCTCAGCTAGTTGGGAGGCGGTGGGCTCAGTGAGCCTCAGGTGGCCCCAGGTCTGCCAGAGTTTCCTTGAAGTTCCCCCTTCAGTTTTAGGGGCCTCATGTTAAGCTGATCGCTGGCAAACTGGACTGTGTGCTTGCTAGGACAGCCAGCATGTCCCCAGCATGTCAGGTGCTTTCCATTGCATTGTCACATTTGATTCGCTCATCAATCAATCTTTTAAGTGTTTACATTCATGTTAATGAGATTCTAGAGGGGCCGGCACTGTGGCTCCGCTGGTTGAAGGCACAGCCTGTGGCAGCTGCATCCCATAGGGGTGCTGGTTCGAGTCCTGGCTGCTCCACTTCCAATCCAGCGCCCTGCTGGTGCTCCTGGGAAAGCAGCAGAGGATGGCCCAAGTCTCCACGTGGGACACCCAGATTAAGCTCTTGGTTCCTGGCTTCAGATCGGCTCAGCTCTGGCCATTGCAACCATGTGGGGAGTGAAACAGTGGATGGAAGACTCTGTCTCTCTCTCTCTCTGACTCTCTGTCTCTATCTCTCTCTGTCTCTACCTCTCTCTGTAACTCTGTCTTTCAAATAAATAAAATAGATCTAAGAGAGAGAGAGATTCTAGAAGGGCTGGCATTGTGGTACAGCGGGTAAAACCATCAAATGTGATGCTGGCACTGGCTACTCCACTTTCAATCCAGCTCCTTGTTCATGCATGCACCAGGCAAGGCAGCAGAAGTTGGCCCAAGTGCCTGGGCCCCTGTCACCCATGTAGGAGACCTGGACGGAGTTTTAGGCTTCTGGCTTTGGCGTATTCCCAGCTCTGGCTGTTGCAATCATTTGGACAGTGAATCAGCAGATAGAATCTCTCTCTACCTGCCACCCTCCTCCCTTTCAAATAAATAAATAGATCTTTCCTAAGAGATTCTAGGGGCTGGTGCTGTGGTGTAGCAGCTTAAGCCACTGGTTCACCAGCATCCCATATGGGTGCCAATTCAAATCCCGGCTGCTCCACTTCCGATCCAGTTCCCTGCTAACATGCCTGCAAATGCAGTGGGGGATGGCCCCAGTTCTTGGGCCCCTGCACCCACATGGGAAACCTGGATGAAACTCCTAGCTCCTGGCTCCTGGCTTTGGCCTGGCCCAGCCCCAGCAGAGTGGCCACTAAGATGGAAGATCTTTCTGTGTGTGTTTCTTTCTGTTACTCTACCTTTCAAATAAATAAACAAACCTTTAAAGAAAAGAAAAAAAAAAAAGCGAGTCTAGAGAGCATAGACCGGGGAGACTGGGGCTGGCACTCAGGAACACCTTGAGCGGATTATTTTACAGATGGTTTGGGAAAACTCGGAGAAGCAAGTGGCAAGTGCAGCGGGCTTCCACGGCTTCAGCTCGGTCCGTGTCTGCAGCACGATCCCATAGCTCCCATGGTGGGCAGCAATGGCTACCGTGTGTCGAGTGCTCTCCATGTGCCCGGCAGCTCACTAAGCGTCCCAGGGCAGCTACAGGCTCCCCAGCAGAGCAGGAGGTGGGCGCTATGATTGCTTCTATTTACAGAGGAACATGCAGAAGCTTAGGAAGAGAAGCACTGGTTTTTCCCTGGCTGTGCCTGGCTCCTATTGCTCCTCCTGGCCCTTAATCCTTCAGGACTCAGCTTAAATATCCCCTCGGAGGTTCGCCTGCCCACGCGGTGTCTGCCTGCTGCCCCCAGGTCCTCTCCTGCGCTCGCCTTGTTCATGTTCTCCATAGGAACCATCAGAATCTCCAGATAACTTTTTTTTTTTTGTCTCATCTGCTTGTTTATTCTGTCTCTATGCTTCAGAGAAAAGCCCTGTGGGGCAGGGACCTAGCAGGGTGTCTGAACCAACGGGTGCGCACGTGCATGAGTGAACACAGTTAATTAATGGATCTGGAGTTTGTCTCATGCTGAAGAGTAAACCTCTAGCCTCGGTGTTACATGCACACACCAGCCTACTCACCCGTGCCACCACACACAGTTATTAAACGATTGAGACGTGCCAGGCACTGAGGCAGGTGCTGGAGAATCAGAGGAGTGAGACACAGCCTCTGCCTTTGGAAATGTTCCCTTGGAGGGGTGTGGGTGGCACTTGGAAAGGGGGACGGGGGCCGGTGCCTTGACACAGCAGGTTAACACCCTGGCCTGAAGCGCTGGCATCCCATATGGGCGCCAGTTTGGAACCCGGCTGCTCCACTTCCAATCCAGCTCTCTGCTGTGGCCTGGGAAAGCGGTGGAGGATGGCCCAAGTCCTTGGGCCCCTGCACCCTTGAGGGGGACCTGGAAGAAGCTCCTGGCTCCTGGCTTCGGATTGGCACAGCTCCAGACGTTGTGGCAAATTGGGGAGTAAGTCAGCAGATGGACGACCTCTCTCTCTCTCTCCCTCTGTGCCTCTCCTCTCTCTGTGTAACTCTGACTTGTAAATAAATAAATAAATCTTTAAAAAAAAATGGAGAGGGGGACGAAGTGGGGTGTACACAAAAGCAGGACAGGAATGATGGTGTCAACAAGTCTTATCCTGGAGAGCCAGGCACACAATGACACAGCAACAGGAAGAAGGGGCACCCAGCTGCCCCTGCCAGACTAGTGCGACCTCTGCCAATCCGATGGCTTTGAACCTGACCATGGAAGAGGACTCTGAGCTGCAGAGAAGCAGGTGTGCCAGGCAGGGAGCAGGGAACCTGGGGGCTCCTCCCCGGCCTCCACTGTTGAGTCGCATTTGGATCTTGGTATGCAGTTGTTAAGAGGATTTCAGACTCATTGCCTCCACGTGGATACACCATAAAGGGAATCCTGCCTGGACCAGGGAACAGGGGCCTTGGGAGGTGTGTGGGAGTCCGTGGTGGCCTCCAGCTCTAAGAGTGGCACGAATGGCAGGGCTGTCTCATGGGAGAAGGTGCCAAAGACAGACCCAAAGCCTAGAGCATATTGCTAGTTTTTTAATGCTTATTTGTTTTCATCTACTTGAAAGACAGAGCTAGAAACAAAGAAAGAGAGAGGGAGGGAGGGAGGGAGGGAGAGAGAGAGAGAGAGAGTTCTTCATCAGCTGGTTCATTCTCAAATGCCTTGCAAGAGCCCAGGGCTGGACCAGGCTGCAGCTAGGAGCCAGGAACTCCATTCCACATGGGTGGCAGGGGCCTCAGCATGCCAGCCACCATCTGCTGCCTCCCAGGATGGATTAGCAGAAAGCTGGATTGGAAGCAGAGGAGCTGGGATTCGAACAGGTGCTCAGAAATGGGCCACAGTGGGTGTCCATAGTGGCTGCTTAACCCATCGCACCTCAGTGCCCACCCATGGGGCACATTCTCGCACACAGAGCTCAGATGTCCACATTCAGAGTACAGAGTATTTGTCTTGCCGTAACTCTGAAGAATTTCTTACAGAGTGGGAACTGTAGCCAAAGTGTTGACACTGGCATGGTTCATCTTCTCCAACACCCCCACCCCACCCCCCGCAGCAGCCTGAGCTCAGAACACCACTTGAGTAATCACTTCTCTGATCAGAACGTATGGAGCACCCAGTCCCGGGTCAGACCTGGGCAGTGGACAGAAGGGCACAGCCTCTGACCCCAAAGTGCCCATGTGCAAAGCAGCAATGGCAGTGCCCAGCGTGCCAGAAAGGGGCTCAGCTTGGGGTAGCAGGAGCGGGGTGCTGGTGCTGGGGTAGCACCGCGGGCCCCTGCGTCAGGTGGTCTTGGGCTCAAAGCCTCACTCTGCACTTAACGTTTGATGCACTGGGTGATGAGGGCGACCTGTGTGCTAGTCAGGCCACAGGCTGACTGCTCAAACCAAATTGGTTTCCCCCTCCCGCAGACATCCAGTGGGTGTTTTGTCTCTGTTCTAGGAACCATCCAGTCCCAGGCCTTGTATACCTCGTTGCGCTGCCAACTCTTTTTTTTTTTTTAAGATTTATTTATTTATTTGAAAGGCAAATTTACACACAGAGAGAAGGAGAGGCAGAGAGAGAGAGAGGTCTTCCATCTGCTGGTTCACTCCCTAGATGGCCGCAACTGCTGGAGCTGTGCCAATCCGAAGCCAGGAGCCAGGAGCTTCCTTCAGGTCTCCCATGTGGGTGCAGGGGCCCAAGGACTTGGGCCATCTTCTACTGCTTTCCCAGGCCACAGCAGAGAGCTGGGTCAGAAGTGGAGCAGCCGGGATGCAAGCAGGTACCCATATGGGATACCTGCAGTGCAGGCAGTGGCTTTACCCACTACGCCACAGCGCCGACCCAGCTCCACCAATTCTAAGAGGCTGGCTTCACCCACGGCGTGTGCCAGCTGCAGACCAGCGTGAGGCGGGAGCTTCCACGGTGCCACTGTGCCTGCTCCTCTCTCGGCGTCGCTCCTCTCATCCTCTGGATGGGACTCTCCCTGCACTCTGGGCCAGCTCTCCCCTTACGGTTGCGGGTGGATTCGGGCGGCTGCATACTTCATCTGCTCTCGGCTCCGGGTCTGGGGCCTCCCCTCTAAGGGTCAAACGGATGTCCTGGGTGACTCTCAGTAATGGGCACCCAATACAGGAATACAAAAAGCTGTCAGCTAAGACTAATTAGGATCCTTACCCTAGCCTGCCCGGTGACTGCCTGGTGAGAGGAGTCCCACACAAATTCCCCACCATGTCACCAGGAGAAGGATGAATGGATGCAAGCTGCTCCTTTCTCTGTGGGTTACAGGCACTTCTGGGCTCTATCATCCATAGCAGTGATCAGCAAATTCCAGCCAAAAACTTCTAATTTTGACTATGTCCCCAAGAAGCACACTTATTTCTTTGTAAGAATATACATGTGCTATTCTACTAAAATAGTACCATTATGGCACTGCAGGGTCTCTCCTCTCCCACTTCCTTGGTATACCCTTCCCCACAGGGCAAATGGAATCCCAGCATAGACTACATTTCCCAAGATCCTTTGTAGCTAGGTGTGGCCACATGATGAAATCTAGCCAATGGAATGTCACAGTGCAGCTGTGCCATTTCCGGGCAGGGTCCTGATGACAGGACACACATTTCTTCCCTGCTTTTTCCTTCTTCCTGCTTAGAACCTGGCCACGTTGGCTGGACGGTGAGCAGCAGCCTTGCATACTGAAATGGCAGCCACACGTGGAAGGCGGCCGAGCAGCCAGGGGGACACGGGACCAGCTCTGGACTGCCTACCCCCAGACTTTATTTGCGGGAGAGCTACTTTGCTCTTGTTCAGGGCGTGGATATTTTGGATAGTCTCCTTTCTTCATCTCAGTCGGATCGAACAATACCTGATAAAATCATGTATGAGGCATGCACCCAAAAACACACAAAAACAAGAGATAAAATAGCGAGGAAGTGTTATTAGATACCTTTGGGAGTTCTAGTATTCTCGGCACTCTATGGGCTGGGCTGGGTTCCCTGCCTCTCTCCTTCCATTTGACAGACCTGGGTCCCTTGGCCCTGCTCTCGGGGGGTTGAGGGGGCCCACAGGGCTGGCTGCAGTTGGGAGGCTGTTTGCTCCTCCCCGCTCCGCCGCCCCTGAAATGAAATTTGTTCTTGGGAGGCCGCAGCTGTGACTTGTGCTCGCTGACCCACCTTGCAGGGCCACGCCAGAATCCCTCTCAGGGCCTGCCTTCTGCTAGGTCCGATCTCATCATCCAGACGTTGCCTCTGCTCTGGAGAAAGAAGGCGAGGACATCGGATGGAACTGCAACCCGTCTCTTTCTTGGAAAGTGATGCCCATGGGGTCCTGCCCACCATGCACCATGCAAACTCCCTGCCAGGGCCCCTGGAGATCTGGGCGAGTCCACAGGGCTTGCCTCCTCCCCTATCAGGCATCGGGGTCCTGATCGCATCACAGCTCCAAAATGCCCTGACTCATGCCACTGCTCGCTGGGGTTTTAGAAAAGATCTTATTCAGGCCGTGTAGGCTTCGTGCTCCACCCCCTCCCACTCCATGCAGCGATTCAATTACAGCCCCGGGGTGGGGAAGAGGGGCTTGCGGGGAGGGAGAAAGGGGCTCCTGAAACCAGCAGGGGAAGCTCTTGAGAGGGTCCCATTATGAGAGGAATGCACGGGGGCCAAAGGGCTGGCCCTTAACCCAAGCGTGGGCAGGTCAGCAACCTTCTCCGCGCCGCCCCCACCAAATTCTGAGCCCGGCTTTCTCCTACACTTCTAGGTGGCCGGGCTGTCACGTGATATGTTGGTAACCATGGCAACGAGCCGTGTTTGGTGAAGTGCATGGAGAGAAATCCCACAGAGAGAGAGAGAGAGCGAGCGAGCGAGAGCGAGAGAGCGCTGGGCTTTGCCCAAGGTCGCTTGCCTCCAACCTGAACCTGCTCTGTTCTCCACCATCACGGCCAGCAACTTGTTGAAATGGCAGTGATCTGCTGTCCTCTGAGCTGGAGACATTGGCTGTGCTTTTACTCTCCTCGCGGTACTTGTCTCCTATTTTGGAACCCAGTCCCTGCAGATGAAAGACAAAAATAGCTTCCTCCATAGGAGAAGACGCTACCGCCTCTTCTGTGCCTTCAGAGCTGGGCTTCTGACTGCAGCCATCCAGCCTGCCGGGGCCCCTACCTCTCCCTGACCACAGACAAAGCTGGGGGAGGGGCTGACGCACTGCTACTGCCCTGGGCCAGAGCAGGGAGCAGGGAGGCGATGCGGGGGCGGCTGCGCCCTGGGGAGGGCGCCCGGCATCCTGCTCCTGCGCTGCGCGCAGGCTGGGACAGAGGCTCAGACACTCTTTGTTACAAAGGAAGGTCACGGTCATAATGTGGTGACACGCACGGAGCGAGCCACCCTGGGGCAGTCCGGTGGCCGGGGCAGAGCAAAGCCTGGGCGAGCTAGGAGCAGCACGGTTCCGGCTGGCGCCGCCAGTGTAGCCTCGCCTCTTCGGATGTCACTTTCTCCTGTAGGCCCTGCCCAGTGTGTGTCCGTCGTCCTTCTTCCCGTGCTTTAGCAACCATATTTCATCAGACGGAAGAAAATACTTGGAAAAATAAATCAAGAAAAGAAAGTGCTCCCAGCCTCGGAGATAGCCAGGCACCAATCTTCTTAGTTGTGGCTGTATTCCTTCTTGCAGAATTCCCAAAGCTGGGAGAAGGCATTGGGTCAGAGAGCCACGGTAGTGCCAAGTTCCAGAAGTGACCACAATGGGGTTTTTACCCAACACTGAGAGTGCAAAGCAAACTTCCCATTGCATTCAACCCTGACAGCGCCCTCTCCACCCGACCCCCGACCTCTGGTTTGTAACGTGGTCCCCACCTGGCTAGTGACAGAGGCAGGACCCGAGTCTTGGCCAGTGCATTCCCCAAGTCTCTGCTTTCTGGGGGCTGCTCCACGCTGGCAGGAGAGAGGTGCCACGTGGCTTCCAGGGAGCTCAGGAAGAAGCGCGGTGCGTGCGCGGGCACATGTGTGCGTGGACGTGCGTGTCGCTCCGCTCCGGATGACAGGTCGCCCGCTCGTCCCGCGCTGCCATGAGCGCTTCTGAGGATCCTCATGGAAAAGCAGCTCAGCCCAGAAGCCTGGTCTCAACGGCGAGGAGAGAGCCGTGCTCGCGAGCGCGCAGCGCTGGGGAATAGGAGTCCCCGGCCGTGGTTATGGGGGCCGGGGGGCTGAGCCTGCAGAAGGAAAGCTGGGCCACTTGAGATCCGTCCCCTTGAGCTGCCTGACTTCGCTCTCCCATGGTCACTCTCGCCTCTTCTCAGGCTCCTCACGGGCTGGAAGGCTCGGGCGACCCCTGGTCTTCTGGTTGCCTTTGGCCTTGGTGAGCCCCGGCAGGAGACAAGTAAGGTCAAGCTCCCTGCACTTGGAGCTGGTGCAGCCCTGGGGTACCGCGTTCTCCCTCGCTGACTTTCTTACCTTGCCAATACCGTTAGAGAAGTCCCTTTTGCAAACCCTTGAGTGTGCTGAGCCGTCTCCTGCTGGGGCCCTACCTGACACAGTCATAGGCTACCTTCCTCCTGGCAGTAACAGGAGGATGAAATGAGCCAGGTCCTGGAGCGCATGAGCTCTGAACAGCTCGCAGCCAGCGGCAGGGTCAGTGCCCTTCCCTGCACACTTGCAGACAGTGTGGCTGGTAGTGTGGCCAGCCGCGTGGCCGCTCCAGTAGCCCAGCCTCTGTTCTTGCCTAAGTTCTGGCTGGTTTGCAAACGCAAAACAATGAATTCCCAATACACTGAAGCCAGTGATTTATGTAATGAGAAAAAAGGGGGGAAATAATTAAATTCACTGAAGGTGCAAACGAAAGATCAAAAAAGCATATGCAGGAGATATTCATCTACCCTAAAAATATATATTAAGTGCTGCCATGTGCAAGAGATTTAGTCATGAATAATGCAGACCTGGCCCCGCTCTCTCGCAGAGCTTATGCTCTGGAGGCGAGGCGAGGCAAGGCACACGGTTAAACCAAGCATGCTAGGAAGCCCTTTCCCTTGTAACGAAAATTGTTGCAGGAGAATGAATGGTAAGGAAAGTGAAAAACATTTATTTATTTGGGAGAGTTACAGAGAGGGAGAGACAGAGGGAAAGGTCTTCCATGCGCTGCTTCTTTTCCCAAATGGCTGCAACAGCCAGAGCTGAGCTGATCCGAAGCCATGAGCCAGGAGCTTCTTCCGGATTTCCCACGTGGGTGGCAGGGGCCCAAGGACTTGGGCCATCCTCTCCTGCTTTTCCCGGGCCACAGCAGAGAGCTGGATCAGAAGTGGTATAGCCAGGACCCGAACCCACACCCCTGTGGGATGCTGGTGTTGCAGACGGCAGCTTTACCCGCTACACCACAGTGCCGGTCCCAGAAAGCGGCTTTTAACTGAGCCTTTGCTGTGTGCCAGGCTTTTCACTGACATTATCCTGTGTGATTTTACAACAGACACTTACCCCCTTTTTGCAGTGAGGAAGCTGCTATGATTTAACAAGGTCACTGATCAGTCAAAAATATTTACTGAGCGTCTACTATATTACTGGTCCTCTCCTGCTTTTTAAAGAACTTAGAGATAGGAGGAGGGATAAGTACATAAACATATTTATCAAACGTGGGTCGGGGCCATGGCAGAGACATGTTCAAGGCACCGTGGGAGCATGGACAATCCACTCTGCACCCAACACTGGACAGGGCCGGAAAGACTTCAGGGAAGGCAGCCCAGTGAGTGAGGGCTCCGCTGAGCATTAAGGAGCAGTGGCGCTCGCCAGGCTGGGGATGGGGCAGTAGGGAGAGAGGGAGGCCCCTCAAAGCAGCAGGGAAGATCTGTAGGAAGGAGCAGGCCCTGGCGGGGTTGTCCTTGTATCAGGAATCCTGGACTGCAAGTCCCACGGCTCACCCTCCAGCACTGAGTTTAAACTGGGGAGTCGCACGGGCAGATTTGGGTTTCATGTAGATCCCCTTGGCTGTCACTCGGAGGGTGGGTTTGAAGTAGGCAAGACTGGAGATGGGGAGACTCTAGGGGGCTGACTCGTTATCAAGGTGAGATCTAGGAAGACCCCAGACCGGTCGGAGATCCGAATGAGGGGGAGCAGACACCTGCCTGGCCAACTCCTTAAAGAGGTGGAACTTCAGGGTGGGATCGTGGTTTGGCTTTGGGATACGAGGGGTGGGGAGGAGAGAGAAAGAGAGAGAAAGAGTATTCACCTCCACCAAGTGTGGGTGCCAGGGCCACCAACTGAGATGGAGAACTGAGCAGAAAGCAAGCAGGTTTGGGAGGCACCATGGGTCCGAGCTGGCCGAGTGGAATTTGCTCCTGGGACCTTGAATCCACACAGTGACCTGGTGCTCAGCTCTGCACTGGGCCTCTGGGCGCCAGGGGGCTCAGCAGTCCCCCTGGCTCTTGGGGACCACCTGGCCGTCCTTCCAATCAGCCCTCCTGTGCACAGCGAGCCAGGCTCGGTCCCTGTTGCTCTACCTAAAGGACAGTCCGGCTCCGGAGCTGGTGGTTCCAGGCCCCTGGGACACCCCAGGAGCTCCGGGAACTAGGAACCAACAGAAGCGAAGACAGAATCTGACCAGGGACAGAGCGTGGGCTGAGAACAGTGGGCAGAGGGAGGAGCCCCGGAGAACCAGTCCAGGCGGGGGGAGGAACGGACACAAGTGGTCAGGGAGGGCCAGGAGAAGCAGCAGAGGCGGCCCCGGGGAAGGGAAGGCAGCGCATTTTGAAGACTGAATGGCGGGAGGTTTTCTGTACAGCTGAGGCTGAAGTAAAGCGGCTTGCTGAGGACTCCCGGGGTGGCAGCAGTGCAGGTGGTAGGACAGGAGCCGCCTGTGCAGGGGGTGGGGGCGGCACCACGCCCGAGAGGGAGACCACGCAGCGAGGAGGGAGGCGGGCCCTGGGGTTGATGCCAGCAGTCAGCAGGCCCAGCGAGGACTGGGCTGAGTCCCAGGTCCTCCACTCCCGCCCACGATCCTGCGGCCTAGGAGACTCAGGATTTGGAAGGCACACAGAGTAGCCCTTTTCCCTGGGGTGGGAATTGGCAGGGGGGCAGGGCTAAGTGTTGGAGGGGCTGATGACAACCTGGAAAATACAAGGGGACTTCAGAGAGTCTGCAGAAAAATGGAATTGAAAGGCAAGTTATTATTGGGTGTGAAAAGAAGATGGAAATCCAAGCAGCTTTTTTTCCCCCAGTAATATGATTTTTCCATGAACTTTTTGAAGACCTCTCTCCTGCTAGTCTTCAGTATCTGTGAGTTCTTCACCTCCAGGCCCGGGCCAGGCTGAAGCCAAGAGGCAGAAATTCCTTCTGGGTCTCCCATGTTCCTGGCAGGGACCCAAGGACTTGGGCCGTCTTCTGCTGTGTTCTGAGGGTGAGCATTAGCAGGAAGCTGGATTGAAAGCGGAGGATCCAGGACTTGAACCAGTGTTCCTATGTGAGGTGCGGGCATCTCATGTGGTGGCCATAACCCCCGGCACCACAGCACTGGCCTCCCCGACCTGCTTCTTAGGTCAGAACCAAAACCAGTACAATAACTAAGGGAAGATAAAAGGAAGAACTATTTTCTTTAGAATGCAAACTAGAAATGCCCTCTCAATTGCTTCCCTGCCAAAAGACAGGAGAAAATCAAGTTCTTGGAAGTTAGTATTAGAAGGACAGTAGCGGGGCTGGCGCTGTGGCATAGTGGGTAAAGCTGTCGCATGCAGTGCCAGCATCCCATGTGGGCATCATTTCGAGTCCTTGCTGCTCCACTTCCAATCCAGCTCTCTGCTATGGCCTGGGAAAATAGTAGAAGATGGCCCAAGTCCTTGGGCCCCTGCACCGCATGGGAGACCCAGAAGAAGTTCCTGGCTCCTGGCTTCAGATCAGTTCAGCTTGGGCTGTCGTGGCCATTTGGGGAGTGAATCAGAGGATGGAAGACCTCTTTGTCTCTCTGTAACTCTGCCTTTCATATATATGTGTATATATATATATATATACACACACACACACATATATATACATATATATATTTAAAAAGTCATGGTTTGACAGTTCCCCGTGCTGACCAAGGCTTCACAGACAGGATTCTTCTTCAGATATTTACTGAGAAAGCATGGATGAAAACAGAATTGAGCCAAGGACAGGGTATTTTTTAAATAACAAAAGCTTGGGGCTGGTACTGTGGCACAGCAGGTTAGGCAGTCACCTGCGGCTCTGACGTCCCATACTGGAGCAATGGTTCAGGCCTCCGCTGCTCCACTTCTGCTCCAGCTCACTGCTAATGGGTGTGGGGAAATAGTGGAAGATGGCCCAAGCACTTGGATCCCTGCACCGGCATGGGAGACCTAGATGGAGTTCCAGGCTCCTGGCTTCAGTCTGGCACAGTCTCGGCTGTTGCAGCCATTTGGGGGAGTGAACCAGCAAATGCAAGATCTCTCTTTCTGCATCACTCTGCCTCTCAAATAACAAATCATTTTAAAAAAAATTATTTGACATTTTGAAATTTATATTTGTTCATTGTCGAAAGCTTGGATAATAAAGAATAAAAATAGCTTGAAGCCCCGCCACACGCAGATGGAATATCTCCTTCTAGTCTTTTCACAACGTAGCACGCTCAATCTGCTTTTCACGGCGACCTGCTCACGCCCTCGGCAGGGCTGGGCAGGAGCTACGGTACAGTGGGATCCCAGCCAGAGTGTGCGAGGGGAGGGAGGAGGATGATGCACTCAGGAGCAGGAGGCGGGGGGGACGGGGGGATCAATGAGATGGCCTAGCAGAAAATAAGACAAGAGAGACCCAGAACCCAGCTCGCCTGCTTCAGTCCGGGACGCTGTGTGCCTACACCTGCCCCCGTCCCCCCCGCCCCCAATTATTATATGACCTCCTGCAGCAGAGGACTCGTGGCCAATACTTTTTCGCCCCTGTGTCTTTGAACTTAACCTTGGGAGCTGCTTTGGCTAGGAGAAACGGTAGTGGAAGTGATGCTGGCAGAGGCCACGAATGGGCTCTCGCAGCCTGGCTGAGTCTGCACTTCCGCCCCCCGCTGCCAGCTGGCTCTGCCTGGTCCCAGGACGAGGAGGCGCTTGCGACAGACCTGCAATAGGCAGCCAGCAGCCCTGCCGGCCCCGGCCCTGTCTGCGTGCCCGCAAGCGTCCGTGGTAACAGACTGAAGTCACCCGGCGCGACTTCTGTCCTCACTCATCCGCTCCGACACCTGCATCTCCTTCACCCCTGTCTGTCCTCTGCGTGCATTTCTCAGCTGTCGCTGTCGGCAATGGCTACCTCGGTGAACTCATCTCTCCCCCAGCTGGGCTGTCCCGGGCAGGAGCGCTGGGCTCAGCTGCCGCACCAAGTCCCTGCACAACGGGGCATCTCCACTCCCAAGTCTGAAAACTCTGTGTTTTTCAGCACCTAAGCAGCCAGGAAATTCAGACTAAATTCCAAGCATGCAGTTTAAATAGCCATCGTTAGCTTAGCATCCTGGTAAAACACTACCCCGCCCCCCCAAACCCGGTACATAACTGAAGAAAATGCGAACCAGCTTAGCAAAGAGACACCTGTGCACTATTCACAACGGCCGAGGTAGAGAATGAACCCAGTGTCCATCGACGGCTGGATGGATGATGCAAATGTGGTGCATATACACCACGGGACACCGCTCAGCCACAGACAAGAGCGAAACCCAAGCACCGGCAGCCAAGTGGATGGAACTGGCAGTCGCTACGTAAGTGAGATAAAGCCAGACACCACTTGTTCTCGCTCCTACGTAGAGACTGTCAGAAGCTGATGTGAACTGAGAACAGCGGTTCCTGGGCCCTGGGAAGGGGCGGGGGAGGAGGGATAGAGGAAGGCGGGGGAGCAGGGACCAGGACATGGTTGGGAGGGAGTCCCAGGGCTGCGCAGCACAGCAGGTGCCTGCCGGTCCCAGCTCTGTGTCACGCAGGGAATGGGGCACTGAACAGGAGCTGGGAGACTGATGGCTGTGCTGTAGACAGGTGCTGCCGCAGCGCCCTGTATTCCCTAAAGACGAACACGCATTACCTGCTCATGAGAACAACACTCTCTCCCCTGCTCTCCGTAACGCTTCATGTTTATGACCAGGTGCTAGTGATACGGGGCCTTTTAATTTAGTTCCTCTCAAACTACCTTCCAGATGTAGCACACACAAGCTTTGCCTCGCATGCCCACAAGACTCCTTATTGATTTGTCAAGCTTTGGGCCACAACCAATCTACTGTTTGATGGAAAATAATACCACCACTTATCCACGACTTTCTGACCATGTCCCAGACATCACTTCAAATGGTTTTCACATTGTACCGGTTAGGATTAAGTTCAGCTGGGAGTCACAAAGGCCGTAACTGTGGTGCTTACTCCTCGGAGGTGGAGAAGGAGGGAGGTGGGGAGCCGTGAACTTCACTGTGGCTTTGTTCACAAAGTCCTCAACCTCACAGGCCTCCTCCAGCTCTTCACTCCGCTATCCTTGAAATACTGTTCTCGTTCTCATGGTCCAAAATGGTAGCCAGAATGCCAGACATCACACTCATCTTCCAGGCAGCAAACTGAAGAATTTACTGTCTTTATTTTGGGTGGCTGTGTGCACACCTACACACTGGGAGCCCATAATTAAAGAAGAAAAAGGATAGTGTGGCACAAGTGACACCCTCTGTCTTGGAAGACTCCAGAAAGTTTGTGTGAAAACAGGATGGAAAGATGTTTATTTGGGTGCACAAACATTTTGAAATCTACGCAGTTTTCCACTACATGCATTTTCCATGAACTTTTTGAGGACACCTCATATCCTTATGCTCAGCTTACCTACAGGGGAACGGAGCCACGCAAAGGCCGCCCAAGGTCACACTCGGGTGAACTCGGGTGACCTGGCCCCGGACGTGCGTTCTTTGCCACCATGGGAGTAAGGGGTGCCCACTGGTGTCCAGGGGCGAGCAGGGGCCTTGCGTGTGCTCTGAGCTGTGCCTCCTGCCCTCCTCCTCCCTGTCGCTGTCCCCTCCAGCTCTGGCAGGCCCCAGGTTTGGGCTCCGGCCGCTCCCCGTGTCTGTTACAGCTCAGACCTCCTGAGGTGGGAATTCAGAGGCTGGGTTCTGGGGTCCAACAGAGTGGGGTCTGGATCCTGAGTGACCTTGCTACAAGCCGCTTCAGCTCTCTGAGCTCGGCCCCCTCCTCTAGGGAACGAGAGAAAAGAGAGGTCTCGCCCCACAGGCCTGTGAGCGGGGGTGGGGTACAAACGGGAGACTGATGAGCGTGCTGAGGCCTGGAGCTGAGACGGAGCATGCGTGTGTGTGTGTGATTATGCCAACTATGGGAACTCCTGCTCTCCAGACAGGGGCCGGGGCACCACCACAGGGGGCCTCCCTCGGCCCCTCTTCCCTCTCTCAAGGGTGAGCAGGGGCTGTAGGACTCTTGACTCCCGCCATGCGGGCCCTGGGTGGCTGGTGGCGTTGCTGGCTCCGGCTGCCTGCGTTCGGAAGCCCGATGTGCCTGGTGGGGGGAGGGCTCCCAGCTCACGGCTATGGACAGTCGCTCTTGGATGGAGAGCAGAGCAGCCACACTGGCCTGCAGAGGGGGAGGCTTCCCTTGTACACACACACACACGCACATCTCCCGTGGGAGCAGAGACAGGTCCAGACAACAGTGGTGTTTTCCGAACAATCGGATTCAATACCTTTGGGGAACTGCGTGGGCCAGGCATGGACGGGTTTGCTATTTCAAAACTCGGTAATATTTTTCTGAATTGAAGCAGAAATGATAATGACAACAGAGGGAGAAGAAAGACTTGGCCCGGCCCACTGTCATGCAGACCCCGAAACCGGAGCCCACGGGGGGATGCTGGCACAGCGGATGGAGGCTTAACCTGCCACTCCACAGTGCTGGTCCCTGTGTTTTTTTTTTTTTTTTTTTTTTTTTTCTATCAAGTTCAATGTTGCCAGGATCATTCTCTCAGCTGACAGAGAATTATCAGCCAGCTCTGTCTTCTACAGCTTTTCTCCTCACGTGAATCTTCTCTTTCTCTCTAGCACAGACTGCTGACTGTGCACTTACCTGTTTCGCCCTATGCTCAAAAGCAAGAGTTTTAGCTGAGCCCGAGGCTGCCTCCCATTTCCCAGGCCCCCTTCTGGCTGGGTGCGGTTAACCACGTGGCCGACCCGGGCTTCCGTGATAGGAATAGAAGCCGGGTGAGCAACTTCCTGGTGAGGGCCAGAAAATGAGTGGGAGGTCTTGGCCTCGGTCGCCCGCCTTGCCTTTTGGCTGGGACATGGTAAGGACAGGGCGGGAGCAGTGACCCTGAGCAGACAAGTCGGGGGCCCGCGTGGAGCAGGGCATAGCAGCCGGACCTGGACCACCTGTCCACCTTGACCGTCCCGAGCGAACTCAGCGGGCACCGTGGTCAACAAGGCTTCTGTGTTTTGGACTCTGTTCCGACAGCTTAGCCTGTAGCCGATCTCACCGACAAAACCCCTCATTCTGCAGGGCTTTATCCACCCTGGAACGAGCCCCTCCATCCTCTGGCCCTCCCAGCCCACCTCTCGCTCTTTGCTGCACATTCTACCTGCTTCTGTATTTCCCCGTGGAGGAGTCTGATCTTTGTTCTTTGCACCTACAACAGGACAGAGGCCAGCTCTCCATTCCTGCTCCATATCACACCAGGCCTCGCATACTGCCTTGTACGGGATCGCTTCTCAGCTTCAAGTAAACAGGGTGAATTAAAAGATCACTCTTTTGTAAAAAAAATGTATTTATTTGAAAGTCAGAGTTATGGTGGGGGGGGAGAGGGAGAGACAAAGAGAAAGATCTTTCATCCACTGGTTCACTCCCCAGATGGCTGCAATGGCCAACACTGGGCCACGCTGAAGCCAGGAGCCAGGAGCTTCACCCAGGTCTCCCATGTGGGTGGCGGGGGCCCAAGCACTTGGGGCATCTTCTGCTGCTCCTCCCAGGCCATTAGCAGGGAGCTGGATGGGAAGTGGAGCAGCCAGGACAGAATCAGCATCCATATGGGGGGGCTTGAGTTGCAGGTGGTAGCTTTCTGTCTACGCCACAACACCAACACCAAAAGAGCATTCTTTATTGTCTATATACATGAAGAGTTATGACCGAATAAGAGACTAGTCATTAGGTAAACAGCTGTATCCAGAGACTGCTGGATGGAGAACAGTGTGCCCGGGCGGCAAGCTGCCGGTTTATCTCCTGCTCAATATTTGTACCAACAACTTCAGTGAGGCACAGTCAATACCATCTGTTGCACCTGTGGATAACAATGGGAAGCCAATAAACTAGATAAGAGAACCAGGAATCAGAAAGATCTGGACAGACAGGAACAATGGGTGCAAATTAAACTTTAACTGAAAAGTCCGGAATGCCAGTTCAAAATAGGTAAAAGGACAGAACAAGAGAGAAATGGCTTACGGATTATATAAACAAGGCTCAAGGACTGTATTTGACTGGCAGCCCGGAATGAGTGAAAGAGTTAAGATGTGATGGCCGAAACCAGTCCTGGTGCAGTTCGGGGCTGACCACGTGGACTCAATGACCAGGGGGTGCCTGCTGAGTGCTGGGTGTGGTGTGGGAGTGAGGAAGAAGGAGTGGCCCCTGCTGCCCAGCAGCTTGCAAAGACACTGCGTCTGTTCCTCCTACGGCACAGGCAGGGGGCACGCAGTGCGCAAGAGCCAGGAGATGGGAGAGTGCAGCACAGGCAGGGCGCAAAGGGGTCAGTGGAGCAGAGCTCGACGGAGCGCTGGGGAGGAGGCTGAGGGAAGACAGCGCCAGTCTGCAGCGGGCCCTCGGTGCCAGGGCATGGCAACTGCAGGGCTTGGCAGCCAGCCTCAGTGCACAC